AATCAGTAAAAATAGAAAAGCGGCCCCACAACTTTATAAAAAATAGAAAAGATTAACATATATGAATGGCTAGGCAGGAAAATTATTCATTTTTCCAACAACTCCCTTTAAACATTATCAGGAGTTTGAAAAAAAAAAAAAAAAAAGAAGAAGGCAAAAAGTATATTTTTTCTTTTAACTTTTTTTTACTAATTATTTTTTATTTCAAATAATTGCTTTAAATTATTAAATCGATAAAACTTTTTTAAAGGCTAACTTTGTCTTCTACTAACTAGCTTCATTAAAATTATCATATTAAGTGATAAAATGTAAATAGTGCCACGTAATAGTCAGAGTAAAGAAAAAACAAAAATACTATGCATGATTATATGACGTCTGTCACAAACTTCTATGTTTTTTTTTTTTTAGTAATCCAAATTTCTATTTTTTAGTCCAACCTTTGATGTTTTGGGCTTTTCATTTATTCTCCCATTCGGCCATACGTCAAGAAAAGCTTGACAAATCTCCACAGCACCAAGCAACTTAATTTGGGTAGCAATAATTAGAGTTGTGAATAGCTTAGGTTCGATTAGGTTAGGTTTTAGTTTAAATAAATTAGATTTGTGTAAAATATTTTAAGTTTAATCTGCTTAGTTAATTTTGTGTAGATCTCAATTATAAGTCTGATTTGATCTATATTTAAAAAAAAAAAAAAACTTTGCCCTAAATCTCTTATCATGTTTAAGCTTATTAGGAATTCAATAAATAAAAAAATAATTAAAGTAATATTATTTTGATATTCAAAATATTAAAATAATATTTTATTTATTTTGTTTAAAATAAATAATATAATATAGACCGACTTATAGACTTATCAGCTCGACATGTAAAAGAAAATCTATGATCTATTTTGTAAGGGATTTATTTTTCTTATGTTGTAGGAAAAACACTATCTTATGGTGTAGAAATAAAAGTATAAGTGGGACCCACATGTAAGAGGAGAGAGAAAAAGAGTGGTGGGACCTAATTCCTTTTTGTGTGTAGGAGAGTTGTTTATCTCATGTAAAATGAGATAAACATAACCCATTTTCTAAATAGCCTTTTTTTGTTGGGATATTCAAGTGTAATGAGTCTCACATTGGCTGGTAATGAGCTAAGTGAAGAGTATATAAGTGGAAGAGACTCATGAACCCAATGTCTTAAGGTTTTGGGTTGAGATGTGATGTCGAACTCACTTGGTGTACTTGATCCACTTAGCTCATTGGTGGAGTCCCCCGCCACTGGCTTCCCCCTGGACCCGCCTGACATTGGTATCAGAGCCGGGTTGGGCTCGAGCTAGCCTGGTGATTGGCTAGAAGGCGGGTCGAGTACTTTGCGCTTGGGGTACTCGGTTGAGGGGGAGCATACCAATGGTGGGTTTCACACTCGAGGGGGAGATTGTGGGATATTCAAGTGTGATGAGTCCCACATTGGTTGGTAATGGGCTAAGTGAAGAGTATATAAGTGGAAGAGACTCATGAAACCAATGTCTTAAGGTTTTTGGTTGAGACATGGTGTCGGATCCTCGTGCTACGATTGGTGTAGCCTTAGCTCATTGGTGGTGGCCTCCTGCCACGGGCTTCCCCCTGGATCCGCCTGACATTTTTTAAGCATGATCCTGTTCTATATACCCTATATAATAGGCCGAGTCGTAAGCACATGTTAGAACAGCTAATCCATTTGTCAATATTGTGATCCAAATTGTGATTGCTCAAGTTGGAAAAGTCATTTGGGTGGATTTTTTATTGGGATTAGTATAGAAGATAATTTTATTTCTTATATGCACATAAAAAAGTACGGGGCTTATATTTTTTCTTTTTCGCTCTTTTCTTCGGTCTTCTTATTGCCTCACATGGGTCTTATATACTTTTATATATGTGTATTACATAAAATTATTTCATATAATATGAGAAATATTAATTTCTTTTTTATTTACTGATATTCACGATAATGAGTTTAGTTTGTTCGGATGATCCCATAAACTTCATTCGGATTAATATTGAATAGTTGGGTTAATTTTTGTTCAATTCAAACTAAACTTTAATAATTCAAATATTATATTTTAATTTTTAAAACCTTGTCAAACCCAAATGAACCAAATCACCAAAATTATTTATTTAGAAGAATATGTTAATACAAAATAAAATAAAATTCGTTTGGTTAAATCCGTTCAAAAAAATAAAAATAAAAATGCAAAAACTCTTTCTGAGCGCCTTATTTAAACTAACCCGATTATAGTTGGATTGGGTTGCTTCAGGTTGATAGAAAAAAAAAAAAATTCACTTAAGGCAACTTTATTAAATTTAATGTCTGTCTGAATTTTTTTTTTAACTTTAGTTAGGTTTTTACAAGAAAGAGCTTATTTATTTGTTTATTATTTTTTTAAAAATATTCTAATTGATTCATCGCGTCATGATTAGTCGGATTTAAAACTTATTTTTATAATGAAGAAAATAATCAAAAGCAAAAAACTCTTAGCCTCTTTAGAGAAGCTTTATTTAAGCTCTTATTAATTTTTCTTGAAATGAGATATGAACTTTTAAACTAAAAATTTTATGTAATCACTAAATAATTTTTAGCCTTTTTATACTTTTAAGTAGGGTTGGCAAAAACGAGCTGGCCCGTCGGACCAGCTCGAAACCCGCAATAAATAAGTTGGGTTGGGTTGGTCAAAATGAGCCACCAACCTGGTTCAGCCCGACCCAACGAGTTACGGGTCAGAACGAGCCAGCCCCCAAGCCACACTGGCCAGCTCGCGGGTTGGACCTTTAAAAAAACAAAATCTAAAATCCACCATCCCATCCCAACCCAATCTAAAATCCATCGTCCCAACCCAACCCTCTTCTTCCTCTCAATCTTTCATCTCCACAGTGAAACAACACACCACCCTCCACCGCCTACCAACTACCATCGGCCACCCATAGTCCCCATCTTATTTGCCTTTTATTGCAGATGACGTGGTTGTGGCAAATGACAATGCCCCTTCCCCACCAAAACAAAGAATTTCCTGAGAGGATCAAATATCATAGCATTCTTCTTAGCTCCAATATTTTTGTAAAGGAGCGCCTCATCAAGAAGTCAAGGAAATAGTCTAGATCACAGGATGCACAACTTGTTACTGACATTCGCAAGAGGAAGGGCTTGAAGGAGCAGATGAATACACTTTCTGGGTTTGAGGTCAAGCTTTAATATTTGGCCTACCCATCAAGAATCTTGCAGAGAATTCGTGTTGAACCATAATAACCTGTTTGAAATTGCTTCCCCACTTGATTTTATTTTATTGTATATTGGGCGAGTGGTGATGCTGTTATTTCTTTTTTGTGTTGATGATAATCTCTGCTTGTGCTTGTCTACGGTGAGTGCAGTAATACTCAGTTGTTGCTTTTGTTTTGCTTTGCCAACCCGCGAGCCAGCCCATGAGCTGGCCCGTTAGTTATTTCTCGGGCCAATCCTTACGAGCCAGTTCATGAGCTAATTTTTGAGCCAACTCGCAAGTCAATCCTAACTCGGCTCGGGTCGAGTTGAATTTTTTGGCTCGTTTTTTTTTTTCGGGCTAACCCTAACCCGACTCTGTTTTTCGAGTTCAAAACGGGTTAAGTCGGGTCGAGCCGGGTTGCCCATTTTGTCAACTCTACTTTTAAGCTCTAACTTAAAAGTAGCTTTTAACTTAAATATAGAGAAGATGCAAATATGAATCAAGGATTCTCAACGCTATGATGATATTACGCGCTAATAGGTCGAATGACATAGGATTGAGGATGTTAATAAGCTTAATAAAGCATTAATGTGCATGCTTTAGTAGTTGGCGGGAATATGTACATTTGAATTTATTTATTTTTGAAAACTACTTTTTTTTTTTATCTTTGAACTTTTTTAAATTAATTATTTTCTTAAAATTATTTTTTTAAACATGATCTAACTCTTAATTTGGTAGTTAGGTTATTTACTCATTATCATTCTATAAGCGAAAAATTAATATATATATATATATATATATATATATATATATATATATATATATATATAAAATAGAAATGCACTCATCTCTATAAAAATATTTTTAAATGTTAAAAAGTATAGTTGTTTAAGAGATAACATTATATATTATTCTACTTAAAACATTTCTTTCTATTGACAAGATAATGGGTGTGACCTTTCTTTTATTAAGCAAAGAGAAAAATCTTTTAAAAAAAACCCAGTCTTATGTATTGATGATCATGTATCATATACATTCAAAGTGAGAAAATGTTGACCCCTTAATTGATGTTAGGAAGAAGAGCTAGTAAATAAAAAATTAACAGCCTAGTTCAACAAAATAATAAAATAAATTTATCTGATGAGACAATCTCTAAGGCTTAAGTTTTAGAATGATAAGTTTCTTGACTACCATGCCAAGAGGATAAACTAAAATATAAATTAATATTATTTTAAAATTACTTAGTTTTTATCATACGCAAAAAAAGTATGTTTATTTTTTAAAAGCTATTAAGATTTAAGAATGCATAGATTCTTATACTTAGGAGCCAAAGTGATAAATTCACTTTCGAGGACATAAGAACTAATGACTAAAGCTTCTTGAAATAATAGCATGAATAATTCCCTCGTTGATAATTTGATTTTTTTTTTTTTTTTTGAATAAACCACAAATATCTTTCGCGGGAAACAATCTTATTCGGGACGGATCGAGTATTAAGACTTTAAACTCCTTTCAAAGATGATACTGAAAATGATCAAATACATATTTTCACCTCACCTATTTAACTCCCCTAAGCCAACTGAAGTACTGGTGTTGATAATTTGATTTAACTCTGCTTGTTACACAGAATATCAATTCACTTAATTTCTACATACAAGGGAACCGATAAAATCCCCATCCCCCTGTAAGTACATGGCATTTCTACATCAAAATAATGACCATAGTGCACTGAAAAATGAGAAGTTAAAATACAGAAAATGGCTTGTTATTAAAGCAGCATTCCCTTTCACTTGGATTCTGATACCTCATCATCCTCATAAAACCTAACCTGGCACAAACTTCCACCAGCTTCATCAGCAAAGGCTATCTTTTTCCTCTCTTTACGTACTACATCTTGAGAAGCAGGAGCACCATCATCAGCTAATTTCTGTAGTTGATCAAGATCAGTAATTAATCAAACATGAAATAAGAAACAGAAGTCCATCACTGAGCAGTTACAAATTTAAGAGCTTCAAGAGTGTGTTAAGAAACAAACCATTATCTTACAGAACCGACTGCAATCCCTTTTCATGAATGTCAGGCATCGTTTTGCACCTTCTTCAGCATTTGTGGCATTCTTAACAGCCATTCTTGCCTGAAAATAAATAATTATTAACAAGAAATCAAATACATCAATTTTAATGTATGCCTCTAAACACTTGAAAATCTGAAACTTCAAGAAATTTGTAAGAGTTTGCAGTTTTAAATAGGAAGAAAAAAAGCTACAGCCAGCATATCCTGCTTTACTAGTGACAGAATGAGCAAATTTTGAGCAAAAACATTAAGGGAAGGCATTAAATTGAAAACCTTTAATGAGGAAAAGACTATATTTTTAATAGAAAATGAGCATTGAGAGAGCCTGAATTATAGGATGAGTCTAAATAAGCTCTGCCTCATTAGATTTAGCTTATGTCATTTAAAACTTTGAATTGCCAGTTACCTCATTACTACATCACTTCTTGTTTGATATATCACAAGAAGTTGTTACTATGAAATGAATTGAACCCAAGTCCTCGACTCAAATCCAGTCCCACTATAGTCCCAAACAACCTGAGCGAGGCTTTGACTCTCATCACCACCTCTTAATTATAATCTCCTTAGCACCAGCTTAACGCCATGGCTAAATATACCTGCAAACTGGTACTGTAACTAGCTCCACCACAAGAAAGGTAGGACAGAGAGAAAATGATATCTTTCTCTCACATGGAAAACAAAGAAAACTAACTAAAAACGTTAAAACATTTTTAATGCAGATATAAAACACTTCCAAAAATACTGGTATAATGTACACTACCAAACAAAACATTTGGAAGTAGAAGTCTGATCTACCCATTCGAGACAACAGAATGGTTCACCAATCGCACTAGAAGAAAGCAGAAAGAGTTTAGATTAGAAAAGAAACTCATATCTAAACAATCACTTGCATTACATCTACACAACGGCTTATGAAGTAAGTTTGCCTTCTATCTTCAGCACTTAAATTACTTTCATGTGAGCTGAAAGTAACAGGCTTCAGTCAAATTATCACCATTTATACAGAAGAAAGTAAAATCCATAAGAACAGTTTTGTGGCTATCATACCTCATTTACTTTATATCTCAAAGACGTATTTAGACAGAATTCAGATCGTAACATGTCATCCATAATGTCCTTCATTGAATTCAATTCCTTTGTTAGTTTCACAGCAAGGCATTCCGCATCACGCATCTGCTGCTTTGAAAATGCAATTGCACTCTTTGAACAACTCTGTAAAGAGCTGCACCCAATGTGGGTTGCTGGGTGAGAAGAATGAGGAATCTTGAATATGCATTTTGGATGGGGACCTCTTTTATAAGTCTTAAGAGTAACACTAGTTTTGTTAGGGTTATTAGTAAATCCAGCTCTCATGATATCATCAAGTCCTTCAGCAGCAACATTCTTCTTATCAGTCTGCTCAGTAAGGTATAGTTTTCCCCTGCACTCTGCAATCATTTAACCCAATATAAGACATAATCTCTAATTTCTCAGAATTCGTATTTATTTCCATGATTGTTGAGTTTATAGTTACAGTTAAATGTAAAAGAATACGTTATGCATTGATCTGTGTCAGGGAGTTACAATATATAGAGACCCTAATAGGCTTAAGTGTAAGGCCCAAACCTACCCAAACCTAATCCTAATACAGTCAGAATACAGTCAGACTATTTACGGATAAGACAGAATCCAATCATATCTAATCATATCTAATCATATCATATCTAATATTCTAACACTCCCCCTCAAGCTGGTGCGTATATATTATGAGCACCAAGCTTGTTACAAATGTATTCAACCCGAGGACCTCTAAGAGCTTTAGTGAAAACATCCGCTAGTTGATCAGAGGAGTTGACGAAAGCAGTCTTGATTTCTCCTGACTGAATCTTTTCTCGAATGAAGTGACAATCAATCTCTATATGTTTGGTCCTCTCATGAAAGACAGGATTAGAGGATATATGTAGCGCAGCTTGATTATCACAGATGAGTGTCATGGGTTGTTTCTGTTCACAAAGATGAAGCTCCTGAATCAACTGCTTTAACCAGACTAACTCACAGGTAGCATTTGCCATTGCACGATACTCAGCTTCTGCACTAGATCGAGCAACAACAGGTTGTTTCTTGCTCTTCCACGAAATTAAGTTTCCTCCAAAAAAGACACAATAGCCAGAAGTAGAGCGCCTGTCCGAGGGTGATCCTGCCCAATCAGCATCTGAATAACCACAAATTTCTGTATTTCCCTGATCTGAATACAACAAACCTTTTCCTGGTGCTCCTTTGATGTATCGGAGGATCCTCACAGCAGCATCCCAATGTGAATCACAAGGGGAATCAAGAAACTGACTAGCCGTACTAACAGCGAAAGAAATATCTGGCCTAGTCACAGTAAGATAGTTGAGCTTCCCAATTAGCCTCCGATAACGTCCAGGATCAGATAACGGCTCCCCCTGTCCGGGTAATAACTTGACATTAGGATCCATAGGTGTATCAACTGGTTTACTCCCCAACATACCAGTTTCTTCTAGGATATCCAAGGCATATTTCCTTTGACAGATAGAAATGCCCTGTCTGGATTGCGCCACCTCAATTCCCAAGAAGTAACGCAGCTTCCCAAGGTCCTTTGTTTGAAATGTACTAAACAAATGCTGTTTTAACTGACGAATTCCGTCTTGATCACTTCCGGTGAGAATGATGTCGTCAACATAGACTAACAAATAGATACACTTATCAGGAGATGTAATCCTATAAAACACAGAATGGTCAACTTTACTGCGGATTAAGCCAAACGCCTGAACAGCAGAACTGAAGCGACTGAACCATGCTCGAGGAGACTGCTTGAGACCATATAAGGATTTCCGAAGACGACACACCTTTCCAGACTCCCCCTGAGCAACAAAACCAGGTGGTTGCTCCATGTAAACTTCTTCTTGTAAATCACCATGAAGAAAGGCATTTTTGATGTCAAGTTGAAGGAGTGGCCAGTGACGAACAGCAGCAAGGGCAAGAAAGAGGCGGACTGACGCCATCTTAGCGACCGGAGAAAATGTATCGCTATAATCAAGGCCAAAGATTTGAGTAAAACCCTTGGCAACTAAACGTGCCTTGAGACGATCAATATGGCCATCAGGTCCAACTTTCACAGTAAAAACCCAGCGACAACCAACTATAGACTTCTCTGGAGGAGCAGAAACAAGGTCCCAAGTGCCATTGGAATGAAGTGCAGTCATCTCATCAAGCATTGCTTGGCGCCACCCTGGATGGGAAAGTGCTTCACCTGTGGTCTTAGGAATAGAAATAGAAGAAAGACTAGAAACAAAGGTGAAATGAGGTGAAGAAAGACGGTCATAACTCAAAAAGGTATAAAGAGGATAAGGGTTACGAGTAGTACGTGTACCTTTTCTTTGAGCAATGGGAAGAGTCTCTGATGAAGGATCCGGAGGGGAAGAAGCAACAGCAGTGGGCGATGAGTCAGCAAGAGTCGAGTCGACTGGAGGCACAGTTTTGCGACGCTGATAGGTGAGAAGTGGACGGTCCTCAGGTATAGAAGCAATAGGTTGCTCATCTGGAATAGAAGCACCTGCAGCTGGCAAAGACAAGTCAAGAAAAGGGACAGGTAGTACATGATCAACCTGTGACATCTGAGATGGGATAGAATTAAAGGGTTGTTGATCAAGAAAAGTGACATCAGCGGAAACTAAGTAACGCTTAAGGTCGGGAGAATAACAACGATAACCCTTTTGAAGACGAGAATAACCAAGAAAGATACACTGAAAGGCTTTGGATGTTAACTTATCCTTACCAGGAGTGAGATCATGAACAAAACAAGTACAACCAAAGACATGTGGAGTTAGAGGATAAAGAGGAACATCTGGAAGCAATAGATTATGAGGAATGTTATTGTGGAGCACAGATGAAGGCATGCGATTGATGAGAAAACAAGAGATGAGTACAGCATCTGCCCAGAAGTGAAGGGGAACCTGCATATGAATAAGAAGGGTACAGGCAGTTTCAATGAGATGTCTGTTTTTACGTTCAGCCACCCCATTTTGTTGTGGAGTGTGAGGACAAGTAGTTTGATGTAAAGTACCTTGTGTGGCCAAGAAATTAGAAAAATCAATAGAAACATATTCCTTAGCATTATCACTACGTAGAATACGAATAGAAACACCAAATTGAGTCTGGATCTCAGTAGAAAACTTTTTATAAATGGAAAATAACTCAGAACGATTTTTCATTAAATAGGTCCAAGTGCAACGGGAAAAATCATCAATAAAGGTAACGAAATACCGAAAACCTAAGACAGACAAGGTACGACTTGGACCCCAGATATCTGAATGAACAAGAGAGAAAGGGGCATCAGCTCGTTTATTGACTCGACTGGCAAAAGAGGAGCGTGTATGCTTCCCTTGTTGACATGACACACAATCTAAAGACTGAAGACCGGACAAAAGAGGAACCATTTTCTGCAACTTTGAAAGACTTGGATGACCAAGGCGACTGACTGTGGATAAGTTGTGGAGATTCTGTGAGAGAGCATGCTACTGAAGGACGAGGCACATCCAGATAATAAAGCCCCCGTGACTCACGACCCACTCCAATCATTTTCCCCGTACCCGGATCCTGCACAGAAACAGAATGGTTAGAGAAAGTAATGGTGCAAGTGAGGGAGTGGATCAACTTACTAATAGAAATTAAGTTATAAGGGATGCCAGGAATGTAATAGACAGATGTCAGGGCCAAGGTAGAGGTCGGACGAGCTTGTCCAATCCCACGAACTGGGGCTTTGGTTCCATCCGCAAGGGTAAAAGACGGTAAATGATCAGAATAAGTAAGAGATGTAAAGAGTTCCTTATTACCACAGAGATGATCGGTAGCACCGGAGTCAAATATCCAAGTGCCAAGTGATGTAGAATGAGAAACACAAGCAACGGGATTACCAGTATAAGGCTGAGCCTGAGGAGAAGCCTTCCTGAGAGGGGTTTGGAGTGCAGCATAGTCCGAACCTGAACCAAATGATGCATTGTCTGACTGAGCTATATTTGCAACAATAGAAGGAGAGTTAACCTCCGAGAGATCAGGAGATGTTGCTGCCATTTAAAGATAAAATATAAAAGCCGTAAACGAAGGCAAACGATATCCAATCAAGAAGAACCACGCGTCTAAGGTACCCACAGAGAAACAATCACAGATCCAGAAAGGGGAGGAGAAGGCGAGCTTCTCTGTCCAAGACCGGCCGGAAAAAGCCGCCGGAATAGTGCTCACGCGCCGGCAAAAGGTGGCGCGTGAAGCCCACGCGCAGTGAAGACAGTGGCGCGTGACGGCGCGTGGGAGATGCGTTGCTGACCGGACCACCACAGACCTGGTCGCCGGGAAGAGAGGGTCTTGATCGCGTGAAGTTTGGTCGAAAAAGTCTCCGGAAAAAGTCTCCGGTTGCCTGAACAGTGATTCTGACGGCGGGCGGTGGTTCCGGTGGCCGTCGGAGGTGCTGATGCGTTTGGAAAAATCACTCAGAGGCTGTTTACAGCCCTAGAAGGCTTGCCGGAAGGACGCACGGCAAGAAAGAGGACTCCTAAGCAGTGGGCTTAGGTTTTTAAAGCAAAAAACAAGGTTTCTGAGCGGAAGCGAGGGTTCCTAGAACGAAAGAGCTCTGATACCAAGTTAAATGTAAAAGAATACGTTATGTATTGATCTGTGTCAGGGAGTTACAATATATAGAGACCCTAATGGGCTTAAGTGTAAGGCCCAAACCTACCCAAACCTAATCCTAATACAGTCAGACTATTTACGGATAAGACAGAATTCAATCATATCTAATCATATCTAATCATATCATATCTAATATTCTAACAGTTACAAAGGGGAAGGGGATTTAAACATGTAGTTGCAACTTACGATTTTACATCACAGCATATAAGGCACTTACTCAAATTGTTTTTGTGATTTAAATCAATGACCTCCGTGGCTTTACAGAGCCTTTCCTGAGAAGATGGCGAAATGGCCTGAAGAGAAACCAACTAATGAGAAGAAGCAATTACATTAACTAAGTCAAATAGAAAATTTGTGATGATTACTTGAACCTTTCTGGTTGATAATAGCCTTTCAGGATGATGCAGCTTTGAAGTACTTGTATGTTCATCCCATGAAGTAAATTCATCAGAAGATTCATTGACATGTCTCTTTTCATCATCATATACGGAAGCAAATGATTGCTTCTCCTCAAATTCAGGTGAATCATCTGATCGACCAACTGAACATCCATCAGGATTGAGGCCATGTTCAATAATAGAGCTGGGTTTTGATTGAACCTCAGCACCTTCTGTAAATTCATCTTTACTGCAGTCACTGAGGAAAGCTTCATCATCTCTAAATGCTAGACCTATGCTGCAGTCAAGGCCTTTACTAGCATCCACATTAAGTAGTAAGACTGGTGCGTCAGTGTCACCATCAGGTTGATTGTCATGAATATCGGAGTTATGATTTTCATCCGCAGAGATTACTTGTGGGGAGACAAAACCGAGATCTTGATGGATGATACATTCTTCACTTTCAAATTCTATTGAAGGAAGGTTTGGAGACTGGTCACTGCTTAATTGTGAATTACTTTCGACAAGCTTTTCCCCCTCACAATTTAATTCATTCTTCATATTCCATTCATGGGTTATATCTGCTTCTTCTTTGCCATCATTACCAGAATTGTCATGCTTTTTCCCCTCACAATTCAATTCATTCTCCATATTCCATTCATGGGTTATATCTGCCTCTTCTTTGCCATCATTACCAGAATCGTCATGCTTTTTCCCCTCACAATCCAATTCATTCTCCATATTCCATTCATGGGTTATATCTGCCTCTTCTTTTCCATCATTACCATAATTGTCGAGCTTTTCCCCCTCACAATTTAATTCATTCTCCATATTCCTTTCATGGGGTATGTCTGCCTTTTCTTTGCAATCATTACCAGAATTGTCATCTGGCCCGTCCAAACAATCAGTTTTAGGATCCTCAAATTTCTCTTCAACAAGAGCTGCTGAATCTCCACTAGAGGGTTGGAACTCTTGGCTGTCTTGGATATTTTCAGATTTGACAACTGACATAATCTCTTGGGTATAAGTAGAAATTGGATCTTTTTTGCACTTTTTCTTCTTGGCCTTCATATTCTTTGGCACTTTAGATATCCAGCTACTGATAGTCTCTGTCAAATCAAAATCATCTGCTGCCATTTGCTTCTCCCTGTAGTCTTCCAGAGATGACGAAGCTTCAATTTTTATGTTTCTTCTAGAATAGACGGCGAGACCTTGTGAGCATTTTCTCTTCCTTGTTTTGCAAAGTTCTTTAATTTGCATCAGTGTAAATTTATCAAAACCATTATCATCCAAGTCATCGATTCTCCGATCATCACCATCATTGGGATTGGATACTGAAGCATCAGGTTCGGTTTTCACTATTTTTTTCCCAATTAAACCAATGCATGATCTTTTGGCCTTTACATCACCATTATCAGACAACAAGCCGCCATGTAATTCTGTGACATCTTTAAATTTAAGTGTTGGTTGTCCGCAAGTAACATTAAGGACTTTTGTAACCAAACCACCTTGAATAGCCTGAATGAAATGATGACCACAATTTCGTAGCTCCATTTAGATGCTCTGCTCTCACAAATCACAATCTTTGCACTATATTCCTCCAATGTTCACCACAAAATCTATCAAGAATTTCAAAACACTGAAAACAGTAAAAAACAACAAAAGAACATGATTAGAAGAAGAATCTAAGGCAACCCATTAACTTCTCAGACTTACACAGGCTACAAAATTCATATAATTCCAATAAACTGGTAAATACAAATACCTGAAGCACACGTTTCAAGAAATCAACATTTTCTTCATCCTATCCTGTAAATGTCCAAAGCACTTGTGCAATCTACATCAATTCCAACATAAAAACCAATGTGATTAAAAAGAATGCTGCGACCAAAACAAGATTCTACAACTGCGCAAGACATAAACTAAATTGCAGTGAACAAATACAGAGGCAGAACCCGAGTAATCACAGAGCAAGCAAAAAAAAACTAGGCAAATGCAAACGGAAACAACCTCAAATGTGAGTGAGGGCAGACAGAACAACCAAATCTCAATAACAAAGCAACAACAAACATTTAGGTATAACACCAAAATTATAGTACCATCGAATTCAGACAAATATTAAGAAAGGACCATTAAGGGCATCATGGGTTGTAAGCCAAGACCACAGATTACCAACGACTTGATTAACCTTAAAAATCGAACGGATTCGTAGCTAGCTTAAACTTCCTCTCTCGACATTGAGCTTTCACAACAGGAACAAACAAAAAAACAAAAACAAAAAAGCTTTTAATTCATTCTTCAAATATCAACACCCAAAAAAACCCACCGCCCTAAAAAAAAATTAAATAAATAAAAAATGGGTATGAACTTCTCGGACCCAGAAACAAATGTACCTTCAAAATATCTAGAAGTTTAGAATAACTCAGAAGGTTAAAACAGGATGGGGAAAGAACCTATGAGTAAACAATTTTAGGGCTTAAAAAAATCACATTGAAACAAATTTTGAAGAAATGGGTAAAAAAATAAAAAGCAGATTCGGATTTTTCAGATCTATCAGAGAAGAAGATGGTTTTGCAAACAGAAATCGTTTACATGAACACTCACCGGATATTTGATTAAACGCTGCGTTTTTTGGAAAATAGAAGAGTGAATACTAAAGAGAAGCCTGATTTAGGGCGAGCTTGCAAAAGAGTGAGAAAGAAAGAGGGAAACATCAAAACCTAGTTGTGGATTTTATTATATATTAATTATGAATAGAAATGGCGCCAATTCGTTTTGGCGGGAGTTTCATTGTTGATATTGTTTAATAAAAAAAATTTAAAAGTGTTAACTTTATTTTTTTATTCTAATTAAAATCCTTGCTTTTATCTTGTGAAACATATTAGAAAAAAAAAAATAGCCATGCAATAATTTGATATACACCATTTAACTTACAACATGTGGGCATTATTAACTTGTTGGCAACATGTGCTATAGTGCAATTAATTGTATCCATGTGTTATAATTTAATGATTTTTTTTTATATACTCCATGTGTTATAATTCAAGTGAGTGTTGGGGTGGAAGAGAGATGGTAAGAAGTTCATTTCTCTTGAAATGTTCTACTGTTTAAGCGACTAACATTTTGATTATTTTTTTCCTTAACTTATTGAATAAAATGACTTTATATTTAATATTAATAAATAATAACTTTATTTTGAATATAAAAAAATTATGGGTTGTCCAAAGTTTATAATATGAAAAGTTGTAAAGTTTAAAAAATATCACGATGAATTTTTCCTGCCTTTTGACCATAATGACATGAAAAGAAAATATTTTTTTCTCATCAATTTAATGCACTAAAACAGATATGAGGGTGTGTATATATATATAAGTGGCACATGAGAGCTGCATAACTTGTCCAAAAGTGAATACATGCCTAGCATGTGGCACGTCCTATAAGTTGCACATGGGAGGTATGTTGTGAATGTGTGACTTGTAAAGCGCCACGTGTTAGATGAGCACTCACTTTTACACAAGTCGTGCACCTTATCCATATGCAATTTGAATGCACATATTTTCATGTGCATCTTGAATATTAAAAATAATTAAATTTTAAATCAATACAGAAAAATATTATAGATGAAAGGCAAAATCTTCTTTAATATTGGAAAAATGATCCAAGAGATAAATAGTTGCATAAGAAAAAAAGATGAATGGCTTCGAATAAATGAATGAGAAAGAACATAGTCCTTCTAGTTCTAGAGCAATTGTCGAAGAACTTCTTTCAAATCAATTTGGATGTCATCGAACCATAGCTTTTACATAATCATCGTACTTGTTTAACAACATTCAACAGCAAAAATTGTAGAAACAGCTAGAAAGGGTTTATGTTTTATTTGGACATAGGTTGACAAATAATTAAATTCCACCGCTAGATATTAAATACGAACAAGAATAGAATTGGGCAATTGAAACAAGGATGGTTTTTTCTGTAATTATAAGGACAGATTAAAATAAACCTATTGGGTTGGGCTAGCGCCCTTTTTATGTGGAGAAAGCTTCAAATTCCGAAAGCCCATTTCTAAAACTTAACTGTGTTGATTGAACAAGTAAAAGAGAAAATCTTCTTAAACAAAAAAATAATAATATATTTCTCATGATATATGAGATTATTTGTTTAATGTAATACATAAAAAAATGAGCAAGATCCATTTATTTCTTTATTTTTCTTCTCTTTAGTGAATTTCTCTTATTTTTTTTATGTTGCATGAAAATATTTAAAATAATAATAATAAGAGATACGATATTCATACTACCAAATTTTTTTACTACCACTCTAATCTCCATTGGATTAGAAGAAAAGTTGAATGAAGAGAGAGAAAAGAAAAATAACTTTTGAATCCAATGATGATTAGAGTAATAGTAAAGTGGTAGTAAAAAAATTTAGTAGTACGAATATCCTACCTCTGATAATAATGATGACAGAGAATATGAGGGGAAACACAACCCTCTTAGGATGATATTTTTTATTGCATGGTGACAGATTGGAGTAAGCGAGTTAGCTCCTTTGAGGTGATAGGCCATTTAAGGAAGTTTCGATTAATGGATTGGTCAAATTAGAAATATTTAATTTAAAAAAAAAATTATATGCAAAATAAAATAAAATTGCCCGATAGAGTAGTGGTAGGGATGACACTTGCAGAGTACATGGCACTATGGCAGACATGTTACATATTCCTCTCCATGCGATACCTGAAATTGAAAAACAAAATAAAAATAAAATGAAGTTGCTATTATTTGAACTGAATAAAATAAAAATAAAAATATTTTTAATTTAAAAATTAGTCTTTGAAACTGAGATTAAAAATTACGCAAGGCAAAGGATAAAAATATAATCCCAATACAGTGAGTGATACATTCATTTTTAAAAAGGTTACTTTAAAATTAAACGTGAAAATTATTAATGTTTAAAATATTTCCTTTATTCATTAAAATAAATTAAAATAAAATAAAGACACAAATGAAATGAAATAGAAATACATGAAATGATTATAGAGATCTTAATTTTTCATTGAGGAAACCAAAAGAAATATATATATATATATATATATATATATATATATATATATATATATATTCTAAGTCTTTTATGTAGGATACCTACTAGAAAAGGAAATAAAAAAATTACATAAATCTTAAGTCTGCCCTAGAGGAGGCAAATTAAAAAATAGAAGGAATGAAAAGAAAAAAAAAAATTAAGGGCCTATTGGTGTAACGTATAAGGCATGATAGTATAAGCTTATACTATACGTTATGACATTTTCAGTTGTTTGGTGTGACATCGTATAATATAAGCTTATACAACATAATCCCTTAATACATCAAAACGATGTATAACTTAATCCAGCCTAAGAGTGAGGGATAATGCCTGATAAGAGATTGATGTATTAACATCATTGGCCAATATAATTCTCAAAAATTAATAAATTATTTTAATATTAATCAATTAAAATAAAAATTAATTTTTTAATATATTAATTTTTAAAATATTGAATATTTTTATTTTTATAAAATTTAATTTATATTTTGGACACACTGATCAATAAATTTTTATAAAAATTAATATCATATGACATTTTTTTGAAGAATTATATAAATTCTATATTAAAGGATATTTTTATTAAAAATATTTACTTTTATCATGTATAGTATTATGCAATGCATTACCAAATACTAGATGATATTATCTTATACAATATATTATTTTATACAATACCGTGCCAAATGTTGGATAGTATTAAAATTCAATCAGGTCTTATACAATCAGGCCTTATACTATCAGGTCTTATACTATCAGGCATTATCCTATACTATGCACCAAACATGCCCTAAGAAATGTTATACTTATTACCATTTTAGATTTATTTTTTATTTTTCAACTGTTGATTTCAAATTGATCCAACGGTAACCAATCAGATAATAAGCTTAAAATGGTAGTATATCTATAACTATTCCTTTATTTTTTATATCTATATAATAAAAATTAAAAATTTAAGAAGGGGCAATAATGAACCCTAATTCCTCCCTTAGAATTCGTCCGCCTCTATATAGAGGTTGAGGGATTCAAGTCGGGGGCATGGTAGTTAAAATTGAAATTCTACCTAAAATCGGAAGGAGGATAAAAAATCGTAAAACGTAAAATCTTAACATAAAAAAATCGTAAAAGCGTTTGGAATTTTGATAAAATCGTTTTGACTAAAAAAAATCGTAAAATCATAAAATCACAGATTTAAATCAAAATTTTAACTACTAGTCGGGGGTGATGCGCTATTGCTGACGCTTGATAAACCGGAATCAATAAATTTTAGGGATGTGAAAATTGGTACATTTTAGGCACTGATTCGTGTTGGGAACAAAAGTCATTTGACTATTAAGTGATCATTTACATTGCTTTCTGTTAATTCTTTGACCAAAATCAAATGGAAGTACTAAGATTCATACTTTTTGAAATTTAGAGGATTGATTTGCATGTCTTTGGGTTTTAGGATTAAATTGCACAAGAAATATAATTGA